GTTAAGAGTTCTTTCTTTTTTACAGCAGTGTAGTATTCCATTGTGTAGATGTACCACAGTTTTCTAATCCACTCATCTGCTGATGGGCACTTGGGCTGTTTCCAGATCTTAGCATTGCAAATTATGCTGCTATGAACATAAGGGTGCATATATTCTTTCTGATTGGTGTTTCTGATTTCTTGGGATATATTCCTAGGAGTGGGATTACTGGGTCAAATGGGAGTTCCATTTTTAATTTTATAGATGATAGAGGAGCAAGGATTGAATCACGGACATGTGGGACTATTATAATAAGCCTGCCAGATGATAATGGATTGGACTAAGGCGATAACAATGGAAGTGAAGAGTAGATGGGTACCTATTTTTGAAAATCTGATGAAAAGTGGTATTCCCATGTTGTTCAATGGGGAAACTCAGTATTATAAAGATGTCTGTTACCCCTACATTAATTTATATATGTAATGTTCCAATAAAACACTGGTAAGGTTTTAAATTAAAATTGACAAATAGATCTAAAGTTCATATGGAAAAGTAGGTTAGAATGGGAAGCAAAATGATAATGTGCACTCATATGGTGTTTACTCTGTGTCACTGTTCATGTAATGCAACAATTCTATGAGTTAGATTCTATTAACCCTTTTTATAGATGAAACTGAAGTCCAGTGGTTAAGTAGCTTTCCCAAGGCCACACAACTAGTAAGTAACAGGATTTAATCCCAGGCATATTGGTTCTAGGGCCTCTCCACTTAACCAAGAGGTGCTGCCTATTCTATTAAAAAAAAATTATAGCTTCACAAGTTTAAGTGCATACCAGTGTATGAATGAACAGACATCAAAGGAAAATAAAGTTCAGAAATAGACCCCAAATATATATGGGAATTCAATATTGGAAATGGTATTTCAAATTAGGAAAAGAATCCTATCTAATGAAGAGGGATTATGCTAATTGACTGCCATGCCTCACAAAATGGCAAAGAGGGAATATGCTAATTGACTGTCACACCTTCACAAAGATGGCGGTGCCCACGGCCACAAGATGGTGGTGCCCAGTCCCCTCAGCCCCGCCTCATCCAGCCTCAGTCCCCCAGTCCCCTCAGCCCCGCAGGGGAAGGCAGTTGGGGGCACACAAAATGGCAAAGAGGGAATATGCTAATTGTCACACCTTCACAAAGATGGCGGTGCCCACAGCCACAAGATGGTGGTGCCCAGTCCCCTCAGCCCCGCCTCATCCAGCCTCAGTCCCCCAGTCCCCTCAGCCCCGCAGGGAAAGGCAGTTGGGGGCGATCGGGCTGGCAGGGGAGGGCAGTTGGGGATGATCATGCCAGCAGGGGAGCAGTTAGGCGTCAATCAGGCCAGCAG